GTGTAGGAATTATGTATCTTTACAACGACAAAGATGAGTATAGTTTTGACGAAAACTATGAATTTGATGATTTCGATTATCTTACTATTCAAGAAGAGAATGAAGATTGTTTTAAATGAAGTTGAATGACAATTTCTTCGTTGCCAAAGTCTATGAACCTGTTTTTACCGTCTTTGATTTCCAGATTTATATCTTTGATCATGAAAGAATTGACTGGTAAATAGGTCGTTTGAAACGGTTTCTCTATAATTCTGTATCCGATCGGCACCGTAAAAGTCGGTATGCTGTATATGATTTGGCGTTTGTGCTTGTTGAAAAAAATCCACCGTTGATCAAATTACAGTGAATGTTGATCACGTCGATGTCGTTCTCGATGTTGGCCTTGTGCGGCGCCAATGTCGATTGCGCGTATATTCGTTTATCGAACCCTAGTAACGCATTCAACGAATTTTCTACGTTGAAATCGACTTGAACGTTATTTCTCAAGATCAGTTTCATTTTGTTCAGATTCAAATTACCTTCGAATTCGATATTGTTTTTGCTGTTCACGCTTCCTGCGTATTCGGATAGGTAATCGTTGATGGCCACGTGTTCGTAGCTTCCCGCTTGTAAGCTTATGGTTTTGAACGTAACTCCGTTATCCGTCGATATTTTTAGTTGATTGTTTTTTTCGTTGATGTTTCTAATGGAATTGTAAACGGAGAAATACTTTAATCCCAGTTCGTACTGTTTATTGCGATCGAGTTCATACTCGTAGTCTAGAGACAATTTGATGTCTGATTTATTCGAGGTGATAACGAACAATTGTTCTTTATTGGACATTTTTAATGACGTTTTTATAGTCTTTTTTAGTGATGATTTTTTTCTCCAAAAGCCGTTTTAATATGCCATTGACTTCGTTGTATTGTCTGTCCGATCGATGACCTTCCTTCATGGCCGCTAATATTATTTCTAATCTATTAAGCAATTCTTTATTGTTGTCGGATAAAAACGTTATACCTTGTCCAGATGCCACCATATCATCGAATTCGTCTATTTCTTGTATGATTGGTGGATAATCTTCTGCATAATCATCTACCTCCTCTTCCTCAATAACTTTTGTTATATATAAATCAACTTCTTTCAATCTTCTTGTTTCGGGTCCTGACTTCCTGATCGCATGTAGAAATTTTGAGTATGCTACTAAATCCTTGTAATCGGCAATTTCAACATCCTCGCCATTCATTAAATCTATTAATCCTCTCGTTAATGTAAATATAAAGTCTTTTGTGTCGATTTTGAATTGTGGTGAATTTCCACTAAATCTTATTCTAAAACCATTAAACAACAAACCCTCATCATCAACGATTGGTGAAATGCTTTTGGTAAATCTGGGTCAGGGTTTGAAAAAAGACGTTTTATATCATCTAATGTCCTAATTATAATACCATTATATTCAATCGCTTTGGGTTCTATACGAGGGGTGGGTTCTATAACGAGTCTCTTTTTAATATCTTCTTGACTTTTTAATATGGGTTGAAATAGAGTCTGTAGATTTTCCGTTAATCCGAGTTGTTGCACACTGTTATTTTCAACTTGGATCTTTAATTTATTCTTAGCTTTGATATATTCTCTATTTCTTTTTAAAAAATAATTCCAATCCGTCATTTTAAAAAAAATAAAATTAACATATATCGATCATAACTCTTTCTCCCGCAGGTTTTCTAGTATTTACAAATACATATCCATGATCATCTGGGTTTCTCCATTGAGCTTTACAAACCTTTTTAAATGTATCTCTATCCATTCCGTGATTTATAGACTGAATGATTTGAGATAAATCTTTTTCGTTTAATTCAAATAATAAAAAACAATTTGCATTTTTTCTAATGAACATAGAATCCATCCCGTAAAAAGATTGGGATTGGTATATATGCAGTGACAGTTGTGATGTCTTCCTTTGGTGAGGAATTCTTGTTGAACAGTTTGATTTCTTTGCGCTACGCAGTCGTCAAACAATATTAAGTTCTTTCGATTGCTATCAATATTAGACAAGTCTAGATCATTAACATTTTTCGTAAAAAAACTTTTATATCCGTTGGATTGAAAGATGGATTCTTTGATTTAATGAAGTTTTCTATGATATCTTTTATTTCCACTTCTTCTTTGTTTTCTTCGTAATATTGAAATATGTCTTGAACGTCTTTCTTTGGTAAATATTCTAAAGCTTTGAGGAATTGATAATACGATTGCTCTGGTGTTGTTGTGTAGATATACAGAGAATCGAAATCTAAAAGGTTTGGTGTTGTCAACATGTTAAAAGTGAGATGAGTTTTCCCAGAACCTGAACTACCGCAAATGCACATGAGCATTGGGTTACTAGGAAATATGTCCGAATGTTTGAATTTCTTGCCCATTTTTATTTATTACATTTTCGTACTAAAAATCACTCCGTTGCCTTCATACTTTGAAAGGAAGATTCCCTCGCCCGAACGTATGTTTTTTAAAAATATGGCGTTGCCCTTGTGTTTGACCTTCATTTCTCCGGTGTCGATTTTATCTATTAATTTGCTTCATCCCTCTTTAACGATTTTCTTGGTTTCTTCGCCAAATCTTTGTCCGAATTCTTTAACCGTCCCTAATATATCTCCTACTCCCGAACCACCTCGTGCTTCTCTTTCCATTGCCAAATTGTGTCTACGCGCTTCGGCGTTTGCAGCGGCTTCAGCTTTCTTATCGTTGACAGCTTTGCCTATCCCAGCAGCTCCACCAGCAGTTGCACCAGCTGCAGCTAAACCAGCAAAGATTAAAGGTAAGAAAGGTAAAAATCCACCTTTTTTAGTTAAATTCTCATCAATTCTTTCCAAGTCTATATCGTCTCTGACTTTGCAATGTTTGTATTTATCGATAATCTTTTGGATATATGCACTTTTTTTTACCGTTGTAAGTTATTAGAGTCGGCGAATTCGTTTCAATAGCTTCTATTATTTTCATAACCAAAGTTTCTGGTTTCATTTTTAAAGGGTGTTTTTATTATTCAATTCTTATCATTCTTCTATCTGATATTTTAATCAAATGTTTTGCTTCTTCCAGCAATAAACAGTAGCCGGTCACTTCTCCTTGTGTTTTATCTATGTGAATATTTATGTTTACCCCTGTTTTGAAAAAAACTTCTTGATGAGCTGACAGATCGAAACAAAAGATTGGATGATTGAGTGAAAAATCTGTGTATTCAAACTGAGGCGTATTTCCCAACAATTCGCACATGTTTTTATAGTTTCTGTACAATTCGTTGTAATCTTTTTTGGAAGGATCAATTGGTTGATCAAAGTTTAATTGGGATGATTATCGTTGTTCAATCTGACTTGAACTTTGCGAATGATGGGATCTTGAGTATGGTTCAATGCCACTCTGAAAATGTTGTTGTTGTTTGTCTGAGAGTCTGGCAAGTTTTTGAAACCAACCATTAGATATCTCGCTGGTTTGACGGTGTTGGTGATTGGCCACGTGGTGGATTCCCCAGGTAAAGTCATGCTACCTACCGTGTTACGACGAAGAAAAGCAATTTCGATGTCTTTGGTTAAAGAGTTGAATATTCTCGTTTCCACTTCTATGGAAGGAGTGATTACCGGTATGTAAAGTTGGATATTCGTTATTTCCAATTTTGCGTCAGAGTTGTTTTCACCAAAGAATATCTTGTTGTCGTTGATTTCTCTTTGCAAGTGAATTTTATACGGTAAACCTATGGAAACCTTTCTGTGTTTCAAGAGACCAAATAAAGGATACAACTTCCAATTTACGTAATTACCCCATCTGTTGTTCTCGACAACATTGTTGTATTGAAGCGCTCGTTTTTCAAATCCGTGATTTACTCCGCGAGTCACTCTTTCCAGTGTGTTTCTAGCAACTACCCTTATCCTAGCAAGGTCTGCGTCATTTGCTACAGTTCTGACCGGTTCTTTTAAAACTTCTCCGTCACCGACATCGGGAATCCATCCCGAAACTGAATCGTAGTTTTTGGGATACAGAACCGTTTTCAACATTGTGTCAAACTCGCCGGGGTGTTTTATGGTCTCTATCGGATTTGAACCAGCTTCCAAAACCATTTCGCTGAATAAAGACGGAAAGAAATTGTTTTCTAAAGTCGTGTTGGTTTGTGGAATTCGATTCTGAGCGGCGTCTTTGATTTTGAAATCGCATCGGAAATGGGCATCGGAAAGCAGCAACCAATTGGACAACGAATTAATTTCAAAGGTAACTCTTCCTCCGTCGTTTATTTGGGTCTTTGTCCCTACCGATGGTGAGATGATTACGTAATCCTCTTTCTTCTTGTTGAACGAATATTGAATCGGATCATACAATTGAAAGATTGGATCCAATCTGTAATTTTTGCTTGCCATTTTTATCCAATGATTTTAAACCCTTTTCCTTGTTTTTCTAGGGCTTGTCGTTCTAGTCTCTTGTTTCTTAGTTCTCTTATTA